GCACGCACCACACACAAAAACACAATATAATACACATTTGTCTTTTTCTTTCCTAACCGATTGTTCTCCTCAGCTCAACACATTCATATATGTATGCCAACACACGAGCCATTTTTCAACAAAAACACAACTTGTACTCACTTGACAATGCTAAGATAGCCTCTATCCGATGCTGCATGAAGGGGCGTGGCCAGGTTCTTGTTCTGGGCGTGTACACTGGCGCCTCTAGCCAATAGCATCTGGGCCAAGCCCAAGTAGCCACTGGAGCAGCAAAAGAAAAGGGCGGTGCCATCTCGGCGTGAAGTCTGAATGGTTGGTTGGTTCGTTGGTCGACATTTTGGTTGGTTGGTTGGTTGGTTGGTTGGTCGACACGTTGGATGGTTGGTTGGTTGGATGGTTGGTTGGGTGGTTGGGTGGTTGGTTGGTTGGTCGACACGTTGGTTGGTTGGTTGGTCATTTGATTGGTCATTTGATTGGTTGGTTGGTTGGTTGGTTGGTTGATTGGTAGGTTGGTTGGTTGGTTGGTTGGTTGTTTGGTTGGTTGGTTGGTCGGTAGGTTGGTTGATTGGTCGTTTAGTCGAATGTTGCGTCAGTACGTTGGTTAGATGACAGTGGTGAGGGACGGCCGGTGTCCCAAAATAAAGGTGCAGGGGAAAAATGGGGTGGGTGGGAGAGGACGGGAAAGGGAGGGGGAGTGGAGTGAAACAGCACGAGTTAGAAATGCGAGGCTATTAAAAAGAAATTATACAACGAGACGGCAATTTCTTCTCCACCAATAGGATTTTTTAAAGTTGGCGAACAAAGAATTTTAAAATAGAATTTTAAAAAAAAACCAACCTCAAACAAAGAAACAAACAAACCAAAGGAGAATAATACATTTATTTTAAAGGAGAAAACGTTTCGGTCACCGACGGCCGGATTCGATCCCGCAACCTCTTTGCACTTACACACCCTTCCTCCAGACCACAGGACCCCAAAACAATACTTTGAGAAAAGCCAATTTAAGGCAAATTACATGCATGGACATCGTCACGTCATGGCGCCCGGCTGAGCTGGAAAATCTAATGCTGTCGTCCGAACGAGCAAAAATATGATACAGGCACTGACTTCCCTAGGATTCGAGCCCTGAACTTCCACAATACATTTCGTAATTTACTGCATGCATGCAACGCGTCATAATCGATGGGATGAGATAATTTGGTGGAAACCAAATTTCCAAGACTTATTCTCATGTATGTATATTGAGTACCAGAATATTTCATTAAAACTAATTTTCAACTTTGAACGAAACATTATACGAAACAATCAATCTCCCTATCATTGGAAACATCTACAGTACTGTATAATATAATATATAACAGTAAAACCGCAATACTAATAAATAGAAAAACAAAGGAAACAGCCCCATTCCAAATAAATAAATAAATAAATAAATAAATAAAACATTGTAATTATACCCCAAAAATGAAAGCAACAATATATTTTTTAAAGAGTTCATAATATGAAAGAAAAGTCACAAAAGTCGACAAAGTGACACATACCTGACTGTCCACACAGCCGTAGGTACCACTGAGAATGAGCTCGTGAGCAAGCACCTCATCCCCGTTGCAGATAGCATCTAGTAGAAGTCGTGCCATGAGGGATTCATGTATTCACTTGCAGAGCCAACAGCTAATTTTTCACTTTGTAGGCTCTTAGAGATCACTTTTTTAAATTAACAAATTTCTCTGGAGTTGTCAAACTTTGTCTCTTTGTTTCTCAGCATAAAGTTGGGTTGTTTGTTGCTCTGTTGGTGAAAGACGCTTGGACCCAAGTTTCTTTTAATTTCTCAATCTTTCTGTCTTCTTCCGAAGATAGCTAGGTTGTTGTTCTTTAGGTGTGAAAGACGCTTAAAAATGGATGTCCTGTTTGTCTTCTAAAGCAACTATCACATCTACAATATTGAGCAATGTAGTCGAAGTTCGTTTCAAAAACTATACAAAATATCACTTCCCACAAAAGTAATAATATCAAGCGCTACGGACCGGTTCTCTTAAAAAAACTTAAACGCCACCAGGATTCACTGAGGAGATCGTCCCTCAAAACTGCGTTTCTCCCTCGCGCTTGACAAAAAGAAAAATATATGTCCGTTTTCCTTGATAGACAGTTGGCCACTTAAATTATGGCGCGGCGCTGAAGCGGAAGCGGAAGCTGAAGCTGAAGATGAAGAACAAGATGTCAGTAGAGGGAGGAAGAAAAATCCCAGTCCGGAGCAGTTATTTATAGTAGGATCGGCGTGTCCTTCACAGTTGATGAATGAGGGGTGTTGCACAAGGCGTTTGGGTTCAAGCACGTCTCCGGGAAGAAGGTGTCGTTCTGAATAAATGTCTAGATGATCTTCGCTGGGGTGATCCGGCCATCTTCGACGATTCTGTATGATTGAAATACAAATAGTGAAAATAAGTTACACATAGTTACGACGACTAAGTTGGGAGCGGGGGCGGGGGGGGGGGGGGGGGGTGCTCCTGCTCCTTCAACTGCTCTAATGATCTTCCTCCTCGATTGATCCCCATCCTCATCCCCCATGTTCCTTCTACTCTTCTTCCCTCCACCCCTTCCTCTTCCTCCTCCATCCTCCTCTTCTTCCACTTCCTCCTTCTCCATTGATCCCCCATCCTCCTCCTCCTCTTCCTCCATCATGTATCCCCCCCCCCCCTTACGTCCTCTATTGTTGTAATATTTGCTATAATAAAACGATCGCCAACAAAAGCTGAATCTATCAAACCCGTAAGAAAAAAATTTAAAAAACACGGAACAAAAGATTCGCGTTCATTCTTCGAAAAAAAAAAATAAAGGTCAATAACTTGTCAGGCCTAGATTTTTTGAGTCATCCAGATTACTCCTCATGCGTAAAAACAGCAAGATATCCGGGTTTTTACAAAGAGCGGCTGGTTTGCCCTTAAACTTAAAAGTGTTGGCTCATCCATTCACGCAGCCTTCAACGCGTTCAACTCTCGCTGAATATTCAGAAGGTTACGGGCAATATTACAATAATTATATATATATATATATATATGCTGTCCTCGGGCAGGCCTTTTTCATGGAAAATACAAAATGTGTTATATCGCGCCACAGAATGAGAATTGGGGGTGAAAAGGGCGCGAGTGGATTTTTTTAGAGTTGTTTTTTTGTTGTTTTTTTTTGTTTGTTTTTTTTTGGGGGGGGGGGAGAGAAAAGGGAAAGAGTGAACAAAATTAGCGAGGAATTCAGAGATGTGACAGAAAAAAAAAAAGATATGGGGAAAAAATGTTGTTTATTATTATCATTATCGGCACTATTATTACTATCATTACAAACGTATCTGCATTAATATAGTATCGTTGTCGTTACAATTTTAATGTAATTATTATCATTATCAATAATTCTTACTATATTATAAGTAGTGCTGTTATATTTTTTTTTTATCATTACTACTTTTTAATCTACTTCCTTTATTGCATCATCATCATCACCAGAAACCTCATCATACAACTCTCTCTCTCTCTCTCTCTCTCTCTCTCTTCACATACATCGAAATGCTGTTACGTCGTCCCTCTTGGCTGATGGTTCTTTCCCTCCATCTCGCCATCTCTCTTGCCGGAATCCTACATAATCTTACATTTACTTTGCTCTTCATCGTCTCGCCCTTGAGGTTCAACACGCTTCAGTGACTCGGTTATTGGTATTGGTATCCCTGCCCTCCTATGCTTTTTCTTTCTCTTTGTCGGTCTATTTTTGTTTCTCACACTCTGTCTGTCTGTCTGTCTGTCTGTCTGTCTGTCTGTCTGTCTGTCTGTCTGTCTGTCTGTCTGTCTATC